AAGATGCCAAGAGGTGCAAAAATAATCCGATTGTTGGATGGTATATCAGGGATAGTGATAGCCAAGCACATATAGTCTTTAACAAAACCGCCAACTCTACAACTCTTCGTACGCCAGGCTTGGCTTAAAGAAGCAGGTCTGTTGTTGGTACACCAGAAGTCTGAGGCCCTTTTGATTAGCAGCAGTTAGTTAAGAAAAGTGCTCACCGAATGCCGGAAAAGTTGCAGCAGGGCTATCAAAGTTATTGCTAATCGTCGGGAGGAGGCTAAACACGTTTGTGGAGTAGGTATAGCTAAAATCCAAGTCATGCACCGCGAAGCTATATCCTTATAGGGACTTTGAGCTACATATGTATAAGAATTTGCTAAGCGTTTCGAACAATGTCATAAATTCACCCGTTAGTTGTTACCGGTCCCCGTCCTGTTGATGTAGTGGCAAGAAAAATAATTGCAGCCGCAAACAAGCACGAGAAATAAAGGACCAAGTTAAACTGCTTGTAGCAGTTGCAAGCCGATAGGAACTACGTATGTACGCTGGACTTAGAGACTCATACCTAGCATAAGAAAATGGCTCGGTAGACGCCATCGCGAAGTGGACTCCACTTGACCCTAATACTAACTGAATGTGGTTATTTTACAGCATCCTGGCTTAGAGTTCCTTACGAGCACGGTCTGTATGGCACTTTCTGTACAAAAAAAAGTGCTCGTCCGCAGTTAGCTACCGAAAGGGACGGCTTCAGCATGAATGTGGAGAGGCCACTTAGGGTGAAAACGTTATCGTGGTCCGGTTCCGGCAAATGACTTAATACATTATAAAAATACACCGGCCCACCAAATTTCGGTCGGATATCTCGAAAAAATGAGGGACTAGATTGCGCACAAACAGACAAAGAGACAGACAGACACGGCTAAATCGGCTCAGCTCGACGTTCTGATCATTTAAGAATACATTTTCATGGGTCTATATATTCTTTCTTCTTCCGGTACTTATCCGGTACTGTTGATGAAAGGTACAAAAACTAAGGTGATACGATTGTGCTCAAATTACTGCAGAACTCGAACCCGGAAGATATTTTTCTTAGAAAATCTCCAAGGCTTTTAAGCTTTTCGATACTTTTTTCAGTTAAAGGAAATACCCCGAGTATTTTTAAGTGCCAAAATATGGTTTTAGTAGTTTCATATATGTAACCCTTATTAACCTAAAATCATATCAAAATTTCAAAATTCAAACACATTCTTACCGGTATCCGGCGGCGGCCGATTTATCAAGTCTCCCAGCAGATCTCGTATTAAAAACGATTTAGCGCTCTGGTGATGCATTTTGAAGTTATGCACAAAACTTAAACTGCTTTTGTAAATTTACGTTTTTTTACAAATACAATTTTTTGATATTTTTGTTTACTAACAGTAGTTTTTAATGCATACTTGCAATCAACTTTATCTCTTTTTGAAATATTTCTTAGAGGAAATCGTTGAAAATAATCCTTTGCTTCACTTTTAATTAACTAAACACTTAGTTTAGCACTTTACAGTTTTAGTGTTTGGTAGTTTAGATTTTATTTTCTATAATTTTATTAAATTTATAAACTTTTTCTTGGTGGCAATGATCGATTTTAAATCGTCTCTTTCCCGCTTCAAACTCAGCGATTTTAATTCTGTTATTTAATTTTTTTTGGGTTTGTAATATTTTTGTTTTTAATTTTTCGAAGTCCAACTTTCTGCGTTTAACGCATTACCGCCGCAAATGAAGTCAAATGAACAACTGAAATATGTCGTTTAATCCGTTTAACAGTGAAAATTTGCACGCAGGATAACGGCAGTCAAATGATGAGCGCAGCGAAACTGACAAAATAAATTAACGCAAATTGTTGGCAGTTAGGAGAGTGAAAGCAAGCCAAGTAAATAAATACAAAAAAAAAGAATTTGCAAAAAATGAGTAAAAAGCCTTCGCATGTTCTGTAAAGCTACTCTCCTGCCTGCCATGCTGCAGCATCACATTTAACCGTTATTTAATCAATGCACATGTCACGCGCGCACATAAACACCGAAACAAATGCGCGCTCTCATACTCTTTCTCTCTTTGCTGCACTCAGCATTCGATGCCATCCTGCCACACGCGCAACTTGACAACCACCCACTTCTCTCACCCACACTTTCATCATAGACAGCTGAGCACGCTCTTCTCCACCCACCTACTAAACGCAAGGCATATAAGGATGTTGGCCATTTTGTTTTTGAAAAAATACCGTTCTCGCGAAGTACTTGTTTATCTGGTCGCACTCGCGCGGTTTCAGCGCTCGCATATACTCTGAGCTACTTGATTGCTTTCTCCTTCTAACGCTAGCGGCTTTAGATTTTTTTTTATTCACAAGCCATCGTCCAACCACCCACACACCCATCGTCTGCGTTAGTCCTTTGGACGACATTACAGAAGCTTTTCACTGATTGGTTGCACGTTTAGCAACCCCCTGTGGCTTTTGTAAATGCTTTAAATTTTTTCTTTAACCCACGCTATTCGGTTCACTTTGCTACGCTGTTGTGGTGTGGGTGCGTTTAGCATAATTTGTTGGCATTTTAGGCAAATCACATCAAGATTTGCTTTGCCATCATGCGTTTCCGGTATGGCTTTGGTTGGTTTTGGTGGCTGAAGTTTCACAGGTTTCGAAAGGCTAATGCATGCTGTTGCCTAATTAGGCAGCAGTTTTGTGTTGAGTGCAATACTTGAAAGGTTTTCGTTGTTCATTTTGTGTGTTTTCAGTTAAGAAAGATTCTACTTGAAGTAAAGCTAATATTCGTATTGAAAGACTTTATGGCTATGGCAGGTCACACTAGCTCCTTACAGAAAGGGAAAAAGGAAGGTGGCGCTTAGATAGATGATATCACGATCCAAAAAACCGTCTGTGTAAGTTTCTATTTTTGACTATACCAGACACCACAACCTTTTTTATTAAAGCTACTTAAAGCCATGTTTCTTTCTCGGTAGAGAATCCCCCGAAGGAAGAGACCTACCCTCTCCACAGACTTAATTATTAAGATGCCCACAATCTTCACGTCGTAGACTAAGAAAGTGGGGTTCGAACTAGACGTGGAAGCTGACTGAGTCAAAGGTCCAGCTATCTCCGCCAGTAGCGCTCGTTTCGAAAACATTGCCCTTGTAGGCCACCCATCGATGTAAGCAATCTGGCTCAACTCTAGCAGATTTCTATGGCTTTCAAGAGCTCCAGAGGATCTCAAATATTGAAAGTTTATTTGACATATATAGAAATATAGTTGTCGGAAATTACTGGGGAAAGCGAAAGTGGCGTTCCATTACTGAAACCACTTCGTGTCTTTAAGCATCAATGCAACTGAAGGACCTATTCTGAAACTCCCTAGATTGTCATGGACGTGCCTTTGGGAAGATTAGCTCAGCCTGTGACTTAGGGCTGGCAAACTATCGATACTATCGACACGACTATCGATGGTTTCCGTCTGACGATAGTCTTATCGATGGTCGACAACTATCGACAGAAACCACCATTTCAACTTTTTTCTACCTTGTCTAGCAATTAATTGATTTTATGCATATGAAAGTGGTTTTCCTACGAATCCAGAACAGTTACTCTTCTTGAAAATGAAATCAATTACACGGCAATTCGCAACAAAAATAGCACTTTCGGTTCTTTTGAAGATTCAAACACGGTTTGTTTGGCAGATATCGAATAAAGCAACAACGTATCAAATCAACTGTTTGGCTTCTTAAGAGTGAAAGACATCGAAATTCAGCTGAAACCTGTTGTGCGGCAAATCCAATTTTTGATTATCTGACCCATATGAAGTTTAATCAAACCGCTTGTGTTGTATAGCAAAATCGCCTAATTTTTTCCGAGTGAGGACATAACAGATAAAAATTATGGAGCGGAAAATGTAGAATTCCCTGCTTAAACAAGTCATGCTTGTATGGTGTATGGGGAAATGAAAAAAGCATGTTCGAGAATGTGTCCTCAAAAAATTTTTGTAATGTATTTTTGGTAATTTAATTTAAGTCCATTGATCAATTAATTTCCGAGCCTATTTCTATTAGTTATTAGAGCAGATCTCCAGGCCTTATAAGCTGAATAAAGTGCTGAAGGTCTGAAAAACCCCAAACGTTTGATGTGGGGCTTCTCTGTTGTATTAAACCGATACTATCGAAAAACTATCGATGGTCTTAGGCAATAGTATCGTAAACTACCCATAGTTTACCAGCCCTACTGTGACTGGTTTCAGGCTACCCTCGAGGTCCATTGTACATATCACTCAGTCGGTTTGTCGGCTAGATAGACCTTGTGCATGAAAAAAAGTCAAGTCTGTTAATTGCATCAGCAAAGCGGGAAGCAAGCCAGCCTAATATTCACGCACGCCGGCAGTTTACTGTAAAAAATTTCTCATGCACATACAACTTGTATGGGACCAACCGAAATTGAACGGCGTGCGTTAAAAGCTAACTCAAATTCCAAGATTTGTGTTGCGTGACATTTCGATTTGACGTTTGTGCTCATTTGACATTCTGGCGCGACTATGAATTCAAATTTTCCTCAACAACTGACAGAAATGCAACTCTGAGAAATCACGCACGCAAATTGATTTCGGTTAATCAAGTGTGAAAACCTTACGTTCGTGCGTAGAAAAACTCACGCCGGTAATATTACGTTGAGCTGAAAGACATACACTTTGTCAGAGTTTCAGTCATCAAATGGTCGTAAAGAACTTTCCGTGAAGCCCTTCCAGCTGTAAACCTAATTGCGAATTTCCACTAGGCATTGAAATGACGAAAAATTTACGCCATTAAAAAAAATGCCATGTGGAAATGAACTTAATGACAATTTTTTTAATGTAATGACACGATTATTTTGTAATGCCCGACTTTGTCATTTGTCATTTTTGCCATTTAATGCCTAGTGGAAATCCAGCATAAGTTAATGAAATTGGTTCCTTTAATTGCCTATGGTTATATTCTTTATTATTTAGCGGGATTCCGACTATATTTTGCAAACAGTTAAATAAGTTTCTATATCTAAAAGAACTACATAGCCCCTAAATACATTACATACATACACACTACTTATTCAGACCCCATTTCCATGTTCCTCCAATTTTTGCTGAAAATCCTTAAATGCCGCCATTGTAGCGCCAATCAGATGCAATGAGCCGGTAACCAGCACATCCACCTCCTGTTTAGCGCCATAAACTTGACGCAAATGCAGCAAACAATCGACAATCGAACCAAAAGTCTTAGACGTATCCGTTTCCTCCGATTCCATGCACAATTGATACCAAATACTCGAGTGAAGACGTGCACGCTTTAGCTGTTCAGTGATTCCGTAAACGGAAGTGTTGTCATTGTGATTAGAGGCGCCCGAAGAAATATTCGGCACAAAGCAAACTATCGCGAATTCATTACTGGAGTGAAGAACCTCGAGCAGACGTCTCGAATCACGTTCGCCGGTGGTATTGAAAATGAGCACGCGTGGGTTAGTGCTGCAGGATGTAGAGAAAATATAAAAAATAGAGAGTTAGTGAGTATTTGGGTGGATCAAGTGATTTCACATAGCTTACCTCTTCTCAGTTACACGCTTGTACCAATCGCAACAAACGCGTATACTCTCCACAGTGTGCGCCCCGTCTATGTGAAACCTTTGGGGTTGAGAAAAAATAGTACTAAGTATGACGTTATTGCCGAATCGGAATTTTTCAACCTACTTTAAATTCTCAATGTTCAAAATCTCACAACGACCTGGCCAATTGCACTGCTGCAAGCCACGTTCAACTTCGCTGGTTAGCTCTGTTGACTCGACTTGTTTGTATCGTGAATACCCATTCTTGCGTAGCCAATCGTAGGCGAGTTGTATGGCCAGCGAGCCATTCAGTCGTATTACCTCATTGAGGTTGGATAGTAGTGCTTCAATTTCTGGTTTATGGAAATACTCCTCATACTCGGGCACTATGTGTAAGTTGGCCTACGGAAAGAATATAGCAAAGTATCCGTTTAAAAAAATGATCGCGAAAATTAAAATACTATTCTCGCTTACATTACGCTCCTTCGCACGCGCTTTGATCACATCGAGGCACTCCTCTTGCGTTACAGATGTGTAGACATCAGCGTTTTCCTTGATAATACCAGCCTTTTGCCAAGCAATTTCGCTCAGTGTATCGCCCAGCAGGTGCGTATGCTCGAGGCCAAGTGAGGTAATGCCGACCGTTTGGGTATTTCTTGAAAATAAATGCGTAAAATACACGTTAGAATAGGAACGCACATGTGTTTGAAAGTAAACGAGGTTTCTTGGAGTTGTTTGCTACACTAAACTTTGCTAAAAAACACAAATCTTCATGAGTTGAACATAATAATATTGCCAGCGCGTAAAGAGCCGCTAAAACATAGATCTGCCTTGATTAGAACGTTGATTAGTTTTTTTTTTAATAACCGGGGTACCCGGTGCTTAGATACACCGCCCGTTCGCCGGTCACAAGAAAGTATTCTGAGGTTATCGAAAATGAAGTCAGCTATTGCAAAGGTCCAGGTATAAACCTGAAGCCCTTTATGAGAAAAGTAAAAATTTCGCTACAGATTCGCTTATTACCTACACTTTTATAGAGTATAAATATACATCTTTATTTGGTGGAGAGATCTCAGAAAAAAAAAAACATTTGCAGCTGCCTTTAAAAGTGTTGACGTAGAATGCTATTGAAATAAGTAGAGCAAGTATAGACCAGTTCCGAGAAGATTTAAGCACCCGTTTATTAACAGCCTTATGCTGTATCACGAACGATAGGCAACACGAACGATTCATCTGCAGAGGAATGCTTAAAAAATTAGTCCGGTCAGAGTAAGGCTGTAAGTTAAATAACATCCTAACGCACCAGACCTTTAACGTACTCTTAAGGCTGTATACTTTTAAGAGTACTTACGTTTCCTTTTCAAACTCCGTTATTAATATGAGGCTTCGACGTATCTGTTCTCTTTCCAGTTACATACCTTATCACATTCGTGCAATCCAACTCGCCGCCAATGCCCACCTCCATAATGATAACTTGGACTTTCTCCTCGAGGAAAAGATGAAAACTAAGTATGGTCAGGAACTTGAAATAAGCCGGCATATCACCCTCATATTGTTGTTGGCTACGCAGGCGATTGTAGACTTTCCGAAAGGTACGTACAAACTTCTGTTTCGATATAGGTTTACCGTTAAGGCGTAGTCGCTCAGTTACTGAGAGTAGGTGTGGTGAACTGAAGAAACCCGTGCGAACGCCATGCGCACGAAGAATAGATTCGGTTAAGGCGCATGTGGAACCCTGAAAAATAAATGAAATAAAAAGAAAAACTGCAGTTAGATATTATGCTAGATGAGGTCGAAGCTTTCTACGGGTACTATAGAATTTTATATTGCTTGCTAAGTTCAACTTAAACGAATACAAAAAAATAATTATGCTGGATGTAAAAAAACATGTATTTCGTGCTGATAAGCACTCAGTGCCTCTGTACAGCTACAAAACTCAGTTAAAGTCAATGACGTCACCGCCCAAAGAGAGCTCATACACCTCGCATCCAATTAGGTATAATCAAATACTAATTGTGGATGTGTTTGCACCGAAAACATCCGGGAGGTTATCAAACGCAAGTAATGTGGAGAATTATCAGCAAAATGCGCATGACGATGCGTCTATAATATATTTGAAAACGATTAACAGACTTAAATGTAAATATTAAGTTCTTTTCTTTTTCTGAAATATATATAAATATAGGTGTGTATGCACAGACTTGATCTTCTGTTCCAGTAGAACGAATCCGCCTTCAGATGTTGATATCAGCTTAGCCATGGCTTCCATCCGAGAATCTCGGTTTGGATTGACAGCGCACTGCTTCTTTTCTTCCTTTTAATTGGTACGGTGACCCCCTATCATATATTTTCTTCAAAGAAAATATGTAATCGTGAAGGGTGCGGCTTAGAGACGATCTTTCCTGATTCTGGACTAATTTCTGCTTGCTAATATTTCCGAAAGTGCGACTGCATTCTCCACGGTCGGAGTTGCTGGCATAAAGCTATAGCTAGGCGTGCAGATGGCATTTGGGCGGGAAGAATATAACTCTCCGGGAATAAGATGGGACCCCTAAAAGTTAATTATAAAGTTTTTTTTTTGCTTTGGCATCATTGAGCTCTTTTTTCTCTATCCACTTCCACTTCAGAAGTGAATCAACCAGCCAGAATAATTTAAGGCTCAGCCATGTATGCATTCCGTTTATATATTTCAGAGCTAGAAATTCAACTACTCATTATCACATCTTGAAGGCTGATTTTCTTAGACTTGGGGGTCTACTCTGTATTGCGATTAGAAAAGCAGATAATTTGGATTCGAATACTCGGCACTTTTAATTTGTATTAGTCCGTGCCGAATTTCGAATCGCATTAAGTTTCGAATCGCAATACAGAGTAGAGCGCTTGTAGTGCTAAGTCATTCGCCGGAAGGTGTACAGATGTATCTTCCCTGTTTCTGGGATAGTATCCGCCTGGCGGAAAAGCAACTGTGGGAAGGCATACTATAGCTCATGTCTAATGCCTGCAGATCTGGCAAATTAAAATCAGCCAGAGTTCTGTTCCCTACAGAGTTTTGTATCCACAAAATAACTTAAACTTAACTTAACTAATATTTACAAAACTAATGAAATATGTTATAATAATAAAACCCAGTCATTGCACACAGATTATATAACCTAATCCTAGTGACTTTTAACGCGTGATATTTTGAGAGGTGCATACACTCGTGTTGAAAGTATTTGGACAGTCATCATATTTGATGTGAATCGCGTAGATAAGGCACTAGTTTTTTGATAAAAGTTGCCAATAAAAAATGTTAATACTTTACTGATAAAAATGATATGTTCATAGTCACCAAAGTGTCGGCTATCTAAAGTGGCATTTTCCCAACTTGATTGATGCACTTAGACTAATTATTATTATTATTTTCAATACACCGATAAAATGTTTTTCTAGTGTATCTTTTTATATAAAATCTGATTTCACGTTGCATCATTTATTCAATGACAATAACAGTACTTCTATTTTTTGCTGAAATTTCTGGAATAAAATTTCATCAATATTTACCACTTAATCTTGGGTTAGCAAGCTTTTTTAGAGAAGTCGTGAAATATGTAAAATATGTATGTGCGTACAGTACACTGAAAAAATTCGTCTGACTAATCGCGTAAGAGACCAATAGAGAGCAGTTTCAAAAAGTAAAGGATTTCGTATATTTATTAGAACCCAGCATAAGCACCGATACTAAATAATGTTATGCTTGAAATCCAGCGGAGAATTCTACGAATGAACACAAACTCTCAACGCTGCACGTACTGGCGCTAGCAGAGAAACACAAAGTCCTGCTTTGCATTGGAAAGACCAGGTGGCTTCTCCTGACATTTCCAATTAGCGTCAGTTAGTACTTTTCATACACGTTCGAGTTAAAGGCGAACCATAGTATTTTAATTGAATATGCTCGAACCATCACGCCCATTAAAATTGGCTTCAATCGTCATGAAAAAACTAAACAGTTTTCCGAGGCTCTGAGACGATTATTTCTTATACCTATCAAGACGTTTTTGAACAAAAAATCTTTATTTAAAATAAACATTACCGCCGAAAGGGCATAGTCTTACATGTCTATTAGAGCGTCTCGCCTTACAGGCAAAAAAAATTTCGCCGTATACCCCCTCATATGAAGTGTTTTTGAAAAGCATTTTAAAAAAAAGTTTGGACAACCCTAGTAGCCCAATTATATTTTTCTTCATATCTTTGGCATTAATAGTCGGATTGTAAAGTGTGATACACCAATATTTTTGTCTCGAGGAGTGGGTTTTCCCTACTTACCCACCAGATCTCAGTTGCTACCACCCTAACGTACCGCCCTAATGACAGTAAATTAAAGACCGTCAAAAATCCTTAATCTTTTGCGAGAGAAGTATTTCGATTAGTTCAGTAGAACCCCCACCTCGAGACAAAAAACATTTGTGTATCACACTTTAAAATCCAGCTATAAATGCCAGGGTTGTCCAGAAAAAAATTTTTTTAACGCTTTTCAAAAATAGTTCACATGAGGGGGTGTACGGCGGACTTTTTTTTTGATACGGTCTAATGTCTATGCTTGGCAAATAACCTTTGATTGAGTGAAGTCCCTCTGCAATTCTCATCATCCTTATGTTTTAACTCTACTCCCTAATTCGTATAACTAACAACTGAAAATTGCACATTATTGACCTAGAATTTAATGGGATAATAAACTGCATACTCAAAAAAAAAATAAATCGGAATAAAAAGCTGAAAATTTAGTTGAAACTTTGCAGATTTTTTATAATTTTTGCACAAAGTTTGAAATGTGAATTTATATGGTGTTTCTTATATAATAAGCTAGACTTATCAACTAGACTAGATCAAAATGTTGATGACTTAATCAGCTGATCACAAGTGTATATACATGCATTCAACCATATCCAAGAACAGCAGAATGAGCGGCTTTCGGCAGGCTGCTTTTGGGGTGCTTGATTAGTGTTGTCTCCGCGCCTCTCACTATTCTTAATTATTTTAATGTCCAGTACGACTCGAAGTACATTCTTCAAGAGTGACGGATCATTGCCGCCTACAAATTCTCTACACTATTTTTGTGGTTCATTACATACTACGTTGATACACACTTTCATTGACTCAAAAGTGTTCACATTAAAATTTTATTCGCTATAAAACTGCATACCGAAAATTGTTCTAAAGATTGAGATTAAAAGTTCAAAATTTTGATGAGAATTTGTTAAATTTTTCTAAATTTTTTTTAGTTTGAAATTTCGAATCATATGGTTTTGATTAAAGCATAAGCAATATTTTTATAAAAAAAAATAAAAGAAATTTCTATTTAAAAAACACTGAATAGTTATTTTGTATGTATGTATGTGGTTAGTCACTCTGTACTAGGAATGTTAATCCCGGGATCCCGGCCTTTTTTAGGTCCCGAAAATGCCGGGATTCTTGGCAAATAATCCCGGGATTTTCGGGATTTTTAATTTGCACTGATGGCAATAATAGAAACTCCTTTTCTTGACCAGTGTTGGCTATATTTATTTATTTTTATTTTATAATTAATATTTGTTTTATAAATGTTTAGCTCATTATACATACATAGAACAACGTGCGATAGTAAATATTACACACAAAAATCATTATATTCGCGAAATCATGGGCCAAATATAGTAAACTTCCGTTTTTAGTATTTCACTCTGACGTCAGAAATTCAAAAGTGAAATGTGCTTATAGAAAAAGTATGGGTATCAAATTAAAGAGAAAATTCTGTCGAATTTAATCAGATTAAATTTTTTGGTGCAGTTTTGAAAATGTCCTTTTAAAATTTTATCCTTGAAATTTCGCAATATGTTTTTTTGAAAAAATTATATGTTAAGGACTTATATAAATCCTCGAAATTTGTCCTCCTAACTTTATCAGCTTAAAAAAGTACCTATTCGTCCTTGTGAATCCAAAAAATTTTATTTTTTTTTTATTTCTAAAGAAATTTCCTCTTTCATTTGGTACCCATATTTTTATTCTACATTGTATTGAATTTTTTGAAATAATTGTTGGAATTAATCATATCTTTGAAATAACAAAGTCCTTTAAAATAAATCCTGACGTCAGAGAAAAAATAAAAACGTCACTTTAAATAAAAAACTAGGTTTCATTTATTTAGTATTTATTTTATAATAGGAGAGATAGAAGCAATTTTTTCGATTTAAGTTGATTAAAAGTAATGAATACCTAAATCTCGGGACTTATCCCGGGATCGTGGTAACGACATCCCGAAAATCCCGGAATCGTAAAAAGCGAAAAAATTAACATTCCTACTCTATACACTCTACTCACCTTTCCCTTAGTGCCAGACACGTGTATGAAAGGTATATGCTCCAATTCATCCAAACTAAGGCCACTTCGCTCCATATATTTGTACGTATCAGTTAATGGCAACTGTTTATTATTCAGCAGAATTGAGCGGCGTATCGTTATCGCGTTCGATTGCAGCGTATTCAGATCACTAATACATTCCTGATAAACGAAATTAAAATACATATATTAAACAACATTCGCGTGCGTAAACAAAACACTGGAAAAAAACTAGTTTTGGCTGGCGCACAAAATTTCGCATATGTAAACATTCGCACGCTGGTTTTGCGCTTGCAGTGACGTGACGTCAGCTGGCCAGGTATGAACTATATACATACATACATACATATGCGCCATGCGTATTGCATTATTACGCACTACAGCAACGCATGCGTATTCTTCTATCCACTCCCTCTGACTCTTCGTCACTCGTCACTTGCTTACCTCATATTGCTGCTCCACACTTAACTCCGGCTGCTGTTGATGTTTTTGTGCTGTAAAGCAACGTGTTTGTTGCGGTGTAGTTGTTGTTGTGACTAAAGTTGCTGCAGCGGCTGCTGTTGCTGCTGCTGCTTGTGTAGCAGCTACAGTAATTCCTTGTTGTGGCATCAAAACCACTGATGTGGATTTTTCGGCGGTCAACATGGTGTGATAGGAAGCACGCCACGGCAATAGCTCTAGCGACAGTGATATAGAACACGTAAAATAAGTTGGTCGGCAACGCTCAACAACCGACAAGCGACTGAGTAGCACACGTCGAGCCATTTTCGCGCGAACACCACCTCCAGCTGGAATTGTTAATTGTGAATAATGACAAAAAACGCAGAAAAAAATAACATACATGCTTTCAGTTGTATGCATACTATTTGTACTTAATAGCAACAAATTTGTACAAAAAATTTGAATACATACATACATATGTACATAAGCACATTAATAACAAATGGCAAGCATATGCAGAATATGTCTGTGAATAGCCGTGTATCGCAGCTATACAGCTATTGAGCTACTTTGGGAATTGAGCAAACTGGCTAGCCCCGGAAAGTGGTGTAGGTTATCACGACATGTGCTAGGGCGGTAGAGCATGGAATACCTTACTGTCGTCCCTAAATTGGAGCGCTAAGCGCTGCGTTTTCCATTGTCAACGAGTGTTAGCGCGCGCTCTCCACAAATTAACGCGGCGTAATTTTTGAGGTTTTCTCATTTCCTCTCGTTTCCTCTTTCACTTTTTTGTCCTTTCTTTTTCTTTCCGTCGTCCCCACCCAACTTCAGCACGTAACGCCCTGTCAAAAATGAAAATTCCATTTGCTCGGCGTTAACGCCGCGTAATTGTGAGATGCTCCATAAAAATTGTTTGGGCAGGAGGATTTTTGACACGTGTTAAGCGCTTGACGCGCAAATTTAGGGACAGCAGTAACGAAGAGTTTTAGCGCGAAGCGTGATTTAGCATAGTAAGTTAAATTGAAATTAAGAAAGAAAATTTTGTAAGTTTTTAAACTGAAACCCATCTCCTTTTGTGTTTCTTAGTGTAAACTTTCATGCCGGCATTGGCTGGTACTCCCCCGTAAAACCCGTATTCTATTAGGCGAGTTTACGCAAACACATACGAAAGTTATCTTATTTAGAATCAACCTCTCTTAAGGAAAGTTTACATGTAGTCTAGGTCTCATAAAGTCAAAGCTTAGCTCAATTTAGTTTTGTCTGGGTTTACCCAAATTATCGCCAGTTGTACTTAACTAGGCTGATTATACAAATGGTTATAAGCTATGTACTTAAAAACTTAGGACCACTTTTTATTGCCAGTTTAAACTTAGATCAAGTAAACTGCGTGCAACTCACGCGTGTTTAACTTTGTGCCACGACGGAAAGGGGGGCGGGGAGCTTTTTTGGGGCCACTCCGACTGACTTCGTTTAAGGACCTACTGAAGAGTGCAAGGGATTATGCGGAGGGACTGGAACTTTCCACGCAAGGTACATTTCAAATGAAAAAACGAACATAATCTGGAAATTAGCAGTTCTGATGACGATCTGATAATCACTGATTTCACTGAGCCAAGGTGTACATAACCCTATGTTTTCTTAAAAATGCACATATGAGTTTTACGAGTTGTTCAGGATCTGGTCGCTGTTCCGGTGTGCTGAATAGAAAGTAGCGAATATTCGCTGCAAGCTCGGTAATTGATAAGGACGAGTGTGTACCTCAAATCAAGGCCTGCCTGATGTTAATACCGTCCTATTGGTTATAGCAAATGCTTGTGTCTCATCAATGCTGGCCTACTAATGAAAACGATGGCTGAATTTCATAACGAAGAAAAACTAGTTTGAGAATACATCGTTACTGCACACGAATAAAGGCGCGCTAGTGTTTTGACGGCGAAAAAAGACGCGTAAAAAATTCTTACGAAAAAAGACGCTTAAGGAAAACTTCGGTGAAGAAAGACGTAAAACCTAGTAGATAGCGAAGAAAGACGCGTAACCACAGATTTATAACTGGCCAAGGAATGTCACTTTAGCATAATTCCACAAAAAGTCGTGGGGGAATTTACATCCTGTTACTCCCGCAAAAATAGTCGACCGCGAAAATAAGTTTACGGGTCCTTCTTCGCCGTCAACTATGTTAATAGTTATCTTCGCTAGGTATAAGTATGCATATGTAGTAATGAAGACGTTGCGATATTTTTCCTAACGAATTCGCTTTGGCTGTTTCTTTAATCTACTGCTCAGAGAGGTCTGAGATAATTTTTTATCGGAATGTATAGATGCGGGCGGCCGCTGTGATGTAGTGGCTAGAAGTGCGCACAGTTATTGTTGCATGGCACATTCTGGGCAACGTGAGCAAACCCCATCTTTGGATGACGACCACGGCAAACGTTTAAAGCACTACGATTTGAGGGCGTGCGCCTGGAATTTCCGGAACTTTAATGGGGAAGGTGTCTTGCCCGGCTAGGCGATGTCCTCATAAGGACAAAACCTGACATCACAGCCATCCAAGAAATGCGTTGGACGGGCCAAGTCGAGAAACACGTGGGGTCTTGCGACGTCTACGACGCAAATTCGGTGTTGTATTTTTGGTGGGGAAGAGACTCTAGCCTCTAGCCGCAATCGCTCGTTTTCAACCAACCCACGAGAAGGGCCAAGCATCCTAAGATAATTTTTATGAGCGCTTGGAGCGACTATACTAGCGCTGAACCCGCAATGATATCAAACTCATGCTTGGCGACTTCAATGCCAGTGTGGGCAAGGAAGGCATCTTTGGAGCCACCTTCGACGAAATGAGCGATAACGGACTGGGGCTGATCTATTTCGCCGGGACCCGAAATATTGTAGTATGCAGTACTAGGTTCAAGCTTAAAAAGATCCACAAAACTACGTGGCTGTCTCCAAATCGAAAAACGAGAAACCAAATTGATCATGTTGTGATGGATGGAAGGCACGATTTCTGTGGTTTATACGTACGGACACTTCGAGGTCCATACATCGACTCGGACCACTAATTTGTTGCGACCCGTCTCCGTGCTAAAAAAAATTGCGTCCAACAATGGAAGGAAAGCTCAGCCAATGTATACGCCACTCGACTCTCACAATTTTCCACCCTAATGAATGACAGTAGCACTGAAAGTAGTGTGCTCTGCCCAATCCACAAGAAAGTCGGCACCACCATACGCGCCAATTACCGCAGGATCAGCCTTCTAAGCACTGGTTACAAGGTTTTATCAAGCGTATTGTGTGAAAGACTGAACCCATCGTCAATGAACTAATTGGATCTTATCAGTGCGGCTTTAGACCTGGAAAATCCACCACTGATTAGAAATTCAATCTACGGACAAATCTGGGCGAATACCCGCGAGAAAAGGATCGACATTCACCATCTACTTGTCGACTTCAAAGCAGCTTTCGACAGCGCTAATAGGAGTTGCCTATAGGTACGCCGCTATGTCTGAAATTGGTACCCCAGCGAAACTGATGCGGCTGTGCAAAAGAACATTGAGCAATACCACCAGCTCCATCAGAATTGGGATAGACCTATCCGAGCCATTTGCTACCAAACGGGGTTTCAGACAGGGTGACTCCCTTTCATGTGATTTATTTAATTTGATGTTGGGGAAGATAATAAGAGCCGCAGAACTGAACCGCTCAGGAACAATATAATGCAAGAGCATGCAATCGCTGGCGTATGCCGATGATATCGACATCATCGGTAGTAAAAACCGCGAAGTCTGTTCTGCTATTTCCAAGTTGAATAAGGAACCAAAGCGAATGGTTCTGGTGGNAAGTTTCGAATGGCTAAAAAATACCGTTGATTCTTTAGAACTTATTTTGTCGAGATTTTATGGTTTTCTTTTATATAAAAATAAATTATGAGGTTGTTCACGCTTGCCTGGTTATCAGGTTATCTGGTTGAAAATCATTATTGTGTACTGTATTTTAAAGATGTAAACTGAATACAAAATATAACCACATAACCACATAAGCTGATAACCAGGCAAGCGTGAACAACCTATATGTGTATTCGTTATATGGAAGCAAATGGGACAGAAAAAAATCCAAAAAAAAAACGACCCTAATTTTTAACCATTTGCTACTACTTGCATTTTACACAAGAAAAGGAATACATTTTTGCAAATTGTGAAGTTAAAGCTGCCAAAATTTAACGATTTAATTAAACATTTTAAAACTACTGACTACATGAAAGGTAAGCGTCTGCGTAATTTCTTGCATAATTTTCTCATTGAGAGCAAATTTTGGCTTAATTTCAGAAATTGGGTTACGGGGAATTTACTGGATATGTTTTACTGGGGAGTATACAGCCATAGGTAATTTTTCTACAACTTTTTTGCTGTTGGGTTCTGTTTTATTATTTAAACTAAGGCGTATTCATACACATAAAACCAAGGCGAATTTATACATCACTATCATGAACCGATTAGTAGTTGGATCATGCATCACTATGAATTCGTCTTGCACAAAACAGAATAAGAATGTTTACGAAAGTTGGGAAAAGCCAAGAATCTCGTAAATTTTACATCACACGTGGTTCTCGTTTGACAATCCTAGAGAAGAATTTTGGAGGAGCAAAGGCATTTGTGGTTATAAACAAAAAAGAGAAACTAAATTGCAATTCTCCCTTATTCTGTGTAATTATTTGTGATTTTAAACGAAGAACACATTCACTTTTGGCAGAGTTATATACATATATATATTACGTAAATGCATATGCCCAAGTAACTAGTCTACCAGCCCATGCCGACAAATAGCTCCCCGCGAAAATACCCAATAGTAAGTGAATACAAATCTGCACATTTATAAAGTTTCACTAATTGTTCTTTAAATTTTAATTTTACTCACTATTTACAGCGTTTTTGGATAAAATAATACTTGTAAAAATTTTCCGCGATTTTCTTTTTCACAACAAAATTGACACAAACAGCTGTTTTGATGCTTTAACGAATATAGATAATGGAAAATTGCAAAGAAAAACAAATGTACTAAGCGCACTGTCAAACTCGTATTGATTAAATTGAATCTAGTTTTAAACTCAATAAGTGGACACTTGAAAATTTGTGATTTAAATCGATTTTGTGGTGAAAAAGTATGAAACGATTACACGAGACAGAAGCCCCAACGGAGATACCAACGACGTCGACTGACGCTTATAAGGAGAAGCGCGCGAACAAATATGATTGTGGTATATCGAAAGATGCTGATAGTGAAGATGATAGCAGCAGTAGCGATTGTGGTAGCGATAATGTTGTATTGACCAGCAGGTACCATGCGGCTATTTTTAACACAAAGAAAGACAAAATAAATTTGAATTTTGATAAGAAAAAGCGATTTGGAGAGTAAAGAGTTATGCATATATGTGTATTTAAACTGTCATGTGGAACACTTGAATTCATGTTATCAATTAATACAACCATATGAATCTCTTAAATGAATTGTTCTTTTCAAAAGTTTATCCATTCTCCTCTTTTACAACCAGCTCCAATCACTTCCCAACACGCCTTGGCAAATGCGAAGTCTGCGCTGGTGGGAACGCGCGCTATAGCTGCCCCAAATGCGAAGTGAAGACCTGTTCCCTGCGCTGCGTGCAAATCCACAAAAAAGAGCTGGACTGCGATGGCATACGCGATCGTACTAAATTCATACCCTTGCGAAAGATGACTAAAATGGACTTCATGAGCGATTACTACTTTCTGGAGGAGTGTACACGCTATGTGAATGATCGCAAGAATGATACAATTAAGCGTTTTACCCGCTACAATAAAACATTGCCAACACATTTGTTTCGTTTACGTGGTGCAGCCGCTGAACGACGCACTCTTCTGCGGTTTTTGTTGCCAAATTTCACGCGTCACAAAAATAATACAACTTTCTACGATTGGAACTTACGTAAAATCTACTGGCGCATAGAATGGATATTTATCAACGCAGGTGCGCTACAGTATGTTGACGAACGTTGTGATGAGGATTTTAAGTTGGCACAGTTGCTGGATAAATATATAAACATACAGAATGCGGAGTCAGTGCCGCAGAAGAAAGCATTGGAATACTATCAAAGTACAGGATTCAGTGGATTGAAGGTATGTTAGATAAAGTGTGCCTTTTTTTAAGAAAACTAACTTTCACTGTTAATTTTGTAGCTGCTCCTAAAAGCTGAGGGTATTAAAAGTTCGCGTACACGTTACTATGCGCTGGATGTGCGTAAGACGCTAAAAGAAAATTTAGCCGGTAAAACCTTGGTTGAATTTCCTTGTATTTATGTTAGCTATGAGCAAAATCCAGCGGGATGTGATATTGTTGATAGCGGTAAATAGAAAAAAAAATAGTTTGCAAATAAATTTCGAATAAAATTCCACTCCCTTTCCCACAGATGAGGATGTCGAGGCCGAGACCAAACGTCATGAAGCTGCAATGGAGGCGTTACACAAGCAACGTTTGGCTGAGAATTCAATAAAAAGTGAGAATGCTGACGCATACGCTAACGAGAAGCAAGCTGCACGTGAAGCAGAAAGGCTCGCAAACGCCTTGGCGCAAAAGCGTCGTGAGGCAAGGGCGCGAAAACGTGAGGAGTTCCAAAATGCAGCCAACAATTTACTCTTCAGCGACGAGCAGTTGTGGGAAATGCTTACGTCATCGTCCTCAGGCGACAATACAGAGGAGGAGAATATAACTTGAGCTGGTGTAAAGTCAAACATTTAATTTTTACTAATATACGTAAGTATTTTTACTTTACCTTAATATGCAAGGTGCATGCCATAAGAAAAATTGTAAGCGCATTATAATAGTTTTGAATATACCTTNTCAGCGACGAGCAGTTGTGGGAAATGCTTACGTCATCGTCCTCAGGCGACGATACAGAGGAGGAGAATATAACTTGAGCTGGTGTAAAGTCAAACATTTAATTTTTACTAATATACGTAAGTAGTTATTCCTTTTTACTTTACCTTAATATGCAAGGTGCATGCCATAAGAAAAATTGTAAGCGCATTATAATAGTTTTGAATATACCTTTTATTACATTGCCTAGAAAAATCAAAAAATAAACAATTTGTCATTCAGTTGTCACCATTAAATATTTGTAGTGCACTTATACATTGGTAAGAGACGCACGCCGCCTATACTTGCAAACGGTTAGCTAGCTTAGTTAGTAATATTTTCCATTTTAATAAACATTTAACAATTATTACAAAACCCAAAAGTACAAAATAAATACTACTATAGCAATACCTGCGGCGCCAAGTTTCAAATACATAGATTTACGGTTCAAATATGTCGCATCCTTTTTATATTTCTGTGACATCATCGAGAGATTTTGCGTTTTCGTGTCCAGCTCTGGAAGCATAGTAATTTAGTTACTGTACTATATTAAAAAGGAGACAAATTATTTAAAAGTTTACCTGATAATACTGTGCCACGCTGTAGTACATCATCGATATTTTGTACCTAGGTTTTAAACGAAATTGAAATTTTCAAAACCCANATAAACATTTAACAATTATTACAAAACCCAAAAGTACAAAATAAATACTACTATAGCAATACCTGCGGCGCCAAGTTTCAAATACATAGATTTACGGTTCAAATATGTCGCATCCTTTTTATATTTCTGTGACATCATCGAGAGATTTTGCGTTTTCGTGTCCAGCTCTGGAAGCGTAGTAATTTAGTTACTGTACTTCATTAAAAAGGAGACAAATTATTTAAAAGTTTACCTGATAATACTGTGCCACGCTGTAGTACATCATCGATATTTTGTACCTAGATTTTAAACGAAATTGAAATTTTCAAAAGCCATTTTGGGCTAGCTCACTTATACTCACCATAATTCGCTGCACATCTTGCAATTGTGTGTTAATTGCATTTATATTTCGTCTTCGATCGGTCAATTGCTTTTTGGCTTTCTGTATATAAACATCGAATTCGATAAATGCATATGGACGTGTCACAGAGTTGACACGTCTCCCATAGTTGGCATGAAATTCTTGCGCTAGATCCTCCAGATAATTGAACGCCAAACGTTTGGAGAACATTTTATCACACATCACCAGGTAGCAGACGTCATTTTCAATTAGATAACTGCATATAACAAGGAAAAAAATAGTTGACATGTTATCGATTGTGTGAAATAAGCATGTTGTCTGGGAGGAAACAACAAACATTGCACTTCGTACTCGGCGCTCTACACTTACTGGAATAGATAGGGTCCGGTTTCTATGCTACAACGCGCCGGCGAATGTGATCCTAGTTTCCTGAAAAGCATTTTCGCTTGATTTTGGTACTCTAGTATGCTGCGTCCAGACTAGTTGGTAGGCATGTAAAAGAAGAAAAATTAAAATTTTGTAAATGGTAATTGGATCCAATTAAAATTTGACCCTTGACACTGTGAGACGGTCAATTATCAGCCATTTGCCGTTGGGTGTATGGGCATACCTGTTCGTCGTCTTGCATGGTTCCAACCAGTGGAAGTCCATCGATAACACGCGCTATCATTGTGAGCAATGCCATCTTTTCGCTTTCCGGTTGCGCCGATGTTGAAATTTAAGTTGCTGAAGTCCCTGGGAATTTTTACTCGACTACTTACTGCACACCGCGGATACTGCACTCATTACAACCCTTCGTTATTTGGAACTAGTTTTTTGTGTTTTCGTATAATTGCTCACTTGTTTTATTGAATATTGTTTTTAAAAATTAACAAAAAATTCAACAAAACAATTGATGTTGCGTTTCGTTGCAAATGGTGAAATTTTTAAG